TCGCGACTAGTCTCGGCAATCGCCTTCATCCTGTAATCATGCACGGTACTTTTGCCTACGTCGAGCTCCTTGGCTATTTTTCCTAGTCCACAGCCCCTTGCGCAACATGCTTTTGATACGCGCGCGCTTCTTCTCATCTACCGGCTTCATCATGCTGCGGTCGCAGGTTATCTTCTGGCCTAACTCCTATACTATCGGTTGTTGGGTGAAATGGTATGTACGTTAAGTGGCGAGTGAACTTAGATCTAGGCTGTCGCTCGGTATTAACTGTCCACATCGACTGTCGATGAGTAAATCTCATCCTCGCCAACTGGATGAGGGACAATCGCGCCAAGCTGTATACGGTGGAAACAAAACTCGACGAACTTGTAACACGACAAAAAAAAGAAGGTGTTACTATATCCGAAACATGTGTTGCATAGTGCTAAGTTTTAAAGTGCTGAACATCCGGGAAAATTTTCCTGCCACTGTATCTTTACGAAGGCGCTTGCGCCTAAAGTTCATCAGCGGCACTGTGTACAGCTAGGTCTTGTTCATGTAGCCTCTCATTTGCTAGGACCTTGATTGTGTACAATCCTTTATATACAGTGACGGCAGAAATTGTCCGCATGTTGGGCAATTTTGTGGAAAATTGTCAGTTGCTGATTATTGGGAAGTTAATAATGTGACAGGCTTTAATGGCCTGGTAGACAAAGGCAACAGCACACGTAAAATGCCAACACTAGCCATATTAGGTTTTGTTATGCCAAAGTTCATAGCATTAGATACATGGATGTACATTAGGACAAATAGTTCCCATTTCAAACAAGGCATAACATTGTCCAAAATCAGTACCTAGTCCATCTACCCTTTGCCCTAACAACGGCCTTCACCCTCCTAGGCATACTATCTATCAATCCCCTACAGACTTCTGCTCCAATACTCTCCCACGTCTCCTGCACTCGCTCCCAAGTTTGAAGCATGCCTGAAGGGGGGTACTCATACTTGGCGAGCTCACGTTTGAGGTGAGACCATAGGTGTTCGATTGGATTAAGGTCTGGGGAGGAGGAAGGCCACTGCAGGACTGAGTATTCCTGCTCAAAAAGGAACTCTTGCACAAGCCTACTCTTGTGCGTAGGGTCGTTATCTTGCTGGAAAATAACATCACTGGCGGTTAGAGAGTAAAAATCGATAATGAGAGCAAGCTCATCCTGCAAGATCGCACGGTACAGCTGCCCATCCAAGCGCCCTTCGATCTTACACATTAAACTGGGGCCATCATAGGTCATACATCCCCATATCATTATGGACCCGCCCCCATGCTTCACACACTGCTTCACCTAATGCGCTTGAAGAGCCGCGCCATCGCGGATCCAAGCGAAGCTGCGGCCATCGCTGCAAAAGCGGTTGATCTTGGTCTCATCCGACCAGATCACCCGCTTCCAGTCCTCGATTGTCCAGTCTAGGTGTGCACGGGCGAATTCCAAGCGATCTCGGATGTTACGCGCCGAAAGACGTGGCTTCCTCGGTTGCTGTACAACGACAAGCCCTGACAGCTTCAGGGCATTTCGTACTGTGCGCGGGCAGACCTTAATGCCCTGTACTAACTGTAACTGTTTTGCGGCCTCTACACTCGTTTTGACAGCCCCTGAAGTCACAGAACGCACAAGACATCGTCGGTCACGCACCGAAAGCAAACGAGGGCGGCCTGATCGAGGTACCGTTGGTCGTACTGCTAGGCGGCTGGTGCGCTGGGATGCCTGTTCCGCATATTTCTGAACTGTAGTTTTCCCTATCCCTAACATGCTCGCAATCTGACAAAAACTACGACCCTGATGAAGCAGGGTCAAGAGTCGGTCCTTAATAAGCGTTCTTGTCGGACGCATCGTGGCAGGGAGCTTAGTGAAGACTTCAAGAAGGGTATCGTGAAGCTCTTCGTGCAAAACCTAGTTCGAGCGAGAAATGCAGGAAAGAACTCGGTCTAGGCTCTCGGTGGGAGGTAATTGTCCGAATCGAGTGAGTTACCTACAATTGTGTACACGTTTGTGTAATCTCGATATTACTTATAAGACATATTTGTGTTTGAGCCCTAACGCCCTAAGGCAGAATGTGTGTGGCCCATGAGTACTAGAAGCATACAATATAAATAGCGTAACATGCTTTTATCATCAAAGACCACAATTTCAAGGCCAAAAAATTCCGTCACTGTATATATATTACCCTGACTGGCCTTGTGGCCTCTTCCTAGTGGCCACGCTGGTCTTTCTCTTGCCTTGTTTGTACTCGTTTGACTGGTCTTTAGACCCTTGCCTCAGAGGCTGGACTAGTAGTGCCACTCTGAGCTGCTTGTCTCTCACCAGGCACTGCCCCTATCCAGTCTAGGGGGTGTGTCAAACATATCCTTGTATGTTGATATAGACTACACTGGGTTTTGCCTTATAGAGTACAACCCACTAGGTTATATTCCCTTATATGCCATGGTTCTAGTCATTTCGTTAACTTGATAACAGGCGCGGTCGAAAAGGCCGGAGGCGACGTGAGCCAGCCTCGGGGGGGTCGCATCAGAATCGGACCGAGCCTGGTCTTCCGAGCGTTCGGGTGTACGCGATTGCAGTACAACCCGGCAAGGAATAAAATTCCGTACACTAACCCCCCTCCTAAGGAAGGTGGTCAATATCGGGAACGCCTTTTCGGGTCAAATAAGATTCGAGCACCGAGTGTTCCTGAAGCGAGTCGGAAGTGACCCACGTGTTGTCTTCGCTTGTACGGTCGGCCCAGCGGACAAGAAAATCTACGTGGCGGCCTGTTGTATCGAGGTGGACGCGGTGACTCAAAAAGCTTGAGCGGCTCAAGGGTCGGTTCGGCCATCGGGCGGACACTTGGGACGATCGTCGGGCGGGTGAGTGCGGACGTGTTGGCAATGTAGGGACGAAGGAGGCTGGCGTGGAAGGCGCCATGAATGCGCCACTCGTCCGGTAGTAATAATTTTGCCGTGACATGTGTCACCATCTTGAGGATTAGGGAAGGGCCACTAAACCTTGGGCGGGGTTTTGATGGCAGGGGCAGGCGGAGGTCCTTCTTGTCAAGAAGGACTAGTTGCCCAGTGGCCATCGTAATATTTCGGCGATGAAGGTCGGTGTAGCGTCGAGGCGTAGTGTTGGACTTCCGAATAAATTCGATCGCTTTTTTCCGGGCGGTCTAGAGGTCGTTAAACGAATTGCTAGGACTGGGGCACTGGGTTGTCGATGTTGGTTGTCATGGGAATGGTGGGATCCATCCCGTAGTTTAGGAAAAATGGTGAGTGATTAGTCGTTGCGGAGGGGCAAGAATTCTTCCCATCATACGGGGTTGGGGCAGTTGGTGCGTATCAGCTGCTCCATGGTCTGATTGGTTCGCTCAGTCTGCTCGTCGGTTTGTGGGTGGTAGGCAGACGAAAATTGCAGGCAGGTGCCGTACTGTTCCCATGTCTCTTGCCAGAACTTGGACGTGAACTTGGGGACGCGGTCGCTGATGATCGCCGATGGTAGGCCGTGCAGACGAACAACGGTGGAGATGAAGATTTTGGCTGTTTCTTCGGCTGTGATTATCCTACGACACGGTGCAAAATGCGCCATTTTTGCCAAGCGTTCGCTGACGACGAGGACTACGTTGTTGCCACTAGCGCCAGCCGGAAGTCCCGTGACGAAGTCCATCATCACATGTTGCCATGTCTTATGGGGTGGCTCGAGCGGTTGCAGCAGTCCAGCTGGCCGCTGTCGGGAGGACTTCATGCGCTGGCAGGTCGGGCACGCCGAAACGTATCTCTGCACATCAGACGCCGAATGTGGCCAATAATAAAAACGGTGGAGTAATTTCTGGGTTTTGTCAACCCCGGAACGACCGGAGAGGTTAGAGTCATGGACTTCTTGAATCAGTAATTTGCGAAGGAGTCGGTAAGCGGGAATCCATAAATGGTAAGTGCTGGCTTTTAAGAAATAAATTCCCTTAGCCGTGGTGGCTTGTTGGTGGAGGTTGCGGGTGAAAAAGGGGTAGGTGCTGTAGCCGTGGGTAAATAGTCCGGTGAGCAGTGGGTTGGATTGTGCAATGATGATGGAGGCGAGATGGGCGTACGGTCGTGTCAGTGTGCTGGCGATGTTATTCGCCACACGCTTGTACATAATGGTGTAGTGGAAGTTGCTCTCGAGGAAATCCAGCCAGCGAATATGTCGTGGGTTGAGGTTCGGCTGCGTGCGGAGATCCTGTAGGGATTTCTGGTTTATTCGTACTGTCACGTCGACTCCCGTCAGGTAGCAGCGCCACACTTTGAACACGTGTACGATGGCGAGCATTTTTTTTGTCGTGGACGGGATAGTTGCGCTCGATTGCCTGCAACTTCCTGGACTCGTACGCGATTGGTTGAAGGCCGTCGCCAAAATCCTGTAACAGTACCGTGCCGATGGCGAAATCGCTAGCGTCCATCAAGACTTCGAACGGTCGAGATGGATCAACGATTCGGAGGACCGAGGGTGTCATCGGGAAATTTCAGAGTTCGTCAAAAGCAGCTTGCTGTCTCTCCCCTGTCGAATCAGCGCAGCGAGCTCGGCAGGGACAATGGCACAAAGTTTATCGATGTCCTTCAGCGTGTCGTCAACCGTCGCTTCGTGCAGATAGACGGCGTACAAATCAGCTCCCCGTTTAACCGCTCGCTGGAGGGTGAGGGCGTTGACACGTGTCGACACCGGATCCCGCCCGCGCCAGCACGGTACTACGCGCCACCCGTTCGCACAGTGCACGCTGCAATCGCCAGTTGTCCAGTCGATCCTTGGGTTGTATTTTCGCAGCCAATAGAGTCCGACAAGTATGTTGCAGCCGTCCAGGGTCGTCGCCAGCATGGGCATGCTGAATCCAGAATTGTCGCAATTCTTCATCCGCACCATTCGCGCTCGTTCCCAAATTGCAAGTGGCGTCCCATCCACCAGACGCGTGTCGATTTTGGGGAGGCAATTCTCCAATGTCAGATTCAACTGCTCCGCTGTGGTCACGTGGATCAGGCTATGACTAGCCCTGCCATCCACGAATAACCTTTTTTTTTTTTTTTTTTTTTTTTTTTTTGTTTTGTTTTTTGTTTTTTTTTTTCTTCTTCTTCTTCTTCTTCTTCTTCTTCTTCTTCTTCTTCTTCTTCTTCTTCTTCTTCTTCTTCTTCTTCTTCTTCTTCTTCTTCTTCTTCTTCTTCTTCTTCTTCTTCTTCTTCTTCTTCTTCTTCTTCTTCTTCTTCTTCTTCTTCTTCTTCTTCTTCTTCTTCTTCTTCTTCTTCTACTTCTTCTTCTTCTTCTTCTTCTTCTTCTTCTTCTTCTTCTTCTTCTTCTTCTTCTTCTTCTTCTTCTTCTTCTTCTTCTTCTTCTTCTTCTTCTTCGTCTTCTTCTTCTTCCATTCACCTTGCCTTCGACCAGCACAGGGTGATCTTCAGGTTCGCCCACGTTATTTGTCCGAGTGTGGTCGATAGCATATATCGGTACCACAACTTGGTGGGAACGTTGAAGTTTGGGCGACAAAGCCTCGTCAGTAGGGGGCCCGTCTGCTACTGACTTTTCCCATTTCCCGGCTTCTCCTTGTCGTTCTTCGCCTTCTTGGGTGCCGTCGGGCAGTACTTAGCTCGGTGACCTGGCTTGTCACATCTATAGCATAGCCCATGAAATACGTCATCGGGCGCAGACACGCCATTGATCGTGGGGCGGTGAGATTGTCCACGAAAACGACCAACATCGCTGTTGTTCTTCTTCGCCCACTGTTGCAGTGCATCAGCTGCTGAGGCCAGCTGGACAGCCTCATCGAACGTCTTGGGCCAGGACCGTTGCAACGCGTACTGAATGTCAAAATCCAGCCCGCTGATGTATTTATCCCGCCTTTCTGCTTTGCTGGGGTCGTTCACTTGGTCCGCAAGTGCCGAGAACGACACAGTGTAATGTTGAACAATAGTCACTCGCCCGATTTTGAGCAGCTTCATGCGAGCATCGTCTGAGGCGGATGAGTGCTCAAAACGAGCTCGCAGAGCTGTGCCCTACTATTTCCACGTGCGAATCGTGGTCGTACCGAATATTGTTTCTGCCTGTTGGTTTGAAGAATCCGAAGTCCCATCCTTCGCCTACTTCACGACTGCCAGAGTCCCAATCGCCAACTGTCAACGCCACGAATCCAACGCCGGTCCTCGGAGCAGCGACACGGTATAATTAATGTGAGAGTCATCTGTATGCACACTTGCAGCCGTGAAGAATAGCTCCATGCTGAACAACCACCCTTGTGCCGTCGTCGCCTTGTCTGAAGGGTTGAACGGGGGCGGCGTGGCCGGCTTGAGCTTAATCTTCGTCACGGTCGCAGTGCGCACGTCGTCCTACTCTAACTCCCATGCGAGCTCGTCAAGGATGGTTTTGCTCACCTCATCGTTGGCTTCTGGCTTGACATCATTCTCTGCAACCCCAGGCAACTCCTGATGCACTTCACCACGCGTCTGACAAAGCTCGGTGTCCTCCGTCCGAAGTCTTTCTTACGATTTCACTGTTCAAACTCGCCATCTGGGCTTGCATTGCCTGCATCTGAGCCATGACCTCGTCTAGCTGGGCCTGAGTCATGATGCGAATGCTACACTTTTCGGGCGGGGGAAAGGCCGTGGTAAGAAACTGCAGGGGGCGCAAATGTTATTGTAGTTGTGTGAGCTAATAACTCTAGCTCACGGACAACCGCTTTGCAGCCCTGCAGGGTTAACCACTCCTTGGAAATAAACTACCCTAGGAAAGCGGGGTGAACCGGGAAAGTAGCTCTGATACCAGATCTTATGAATAATAACTGAGAGTGTGCAGATTAATAATGAAGGGTACAAAAATGGGAGCCTAGCATTATATAGCAAGAATTCTAGCTAGGCGACGATCCCGGAGGGCTAGGTTGGGCACAGGCGCGGTCGAAAAGGCCGGAGGCGACACGAGCTAGCCTCGGGGTCGCGTTAAAAACGGACCGAGTTTGATCTTCCGAGAGTTCAGGTGTACGCGATTGCAGTACAACCCCGTAAGGAATAAATTTCATTATAGCCATGGATTATGTAACCAAATTTGTATAGGTGTAATGAAGCTCAAAGAGCGTGTGTGTCGAAGGATTGAGTAACGAAGAAACAATACTACTGAGGCAATATCAAAACAGCAGGGAGCACGGATATAGCTAGCCTAGAGCACACGGTTGTGGCTCGGCAAAGCTGCGAACTGTGGTTTGTAAATTAGCTCGAAGCGCCCAGATCTAGGCATAAAACAACAAGGAGGGCAAAATGCATGCGGCTCCTCAGGAGACCACATTTGGGTACCGCAAGTTGAATTTCGTGGCAGAGCTGCGCGACAACCCCGTTATAGCAGTGTACACCTTACTAACAGAAACCCGTGATAAGGAAATACCATTTCCTTACACCTCACCCCCTAAAAGGTATGGTCTTAGCTAAGACCGCCGACGTCGTGCACATTGCGTGACTAGAGGTAGACTCATAATACTGGGTAATACTCGATTTGTGCCAGGGGCCCAACTGTTTTCTACGTAACGTACCTGGAACTTTGGCGGCTCTCCAGGTGCGTGCTTCACCCTATAGATCCACATGCCATCGACTACGTTCGCCCCAGGCGGGGGAACTGCGATGACGTAAGTGCCTATGGATCCGTAAGATGCCATCTCAGCCTCCATGGCCTGTATCCACTGGGCTGCGCAGGGCCCCGACACCGCCTCAGGGTAAGAGCGTGGAACAGGGATGTCGAGAGCGTCAGGGTCGCCCTCTGGGGATACAAGCATGGAGTAGAGATGGGGAACAGCGGCAGCAAGGTAGGCCAAATCGTACTGCCTATCCTCTAGCACGCCACTGTCAAGGGCAGGTGCACCCCCGATGGACGGAGGACGGACAGTACCAAAGACCAGAGCGGCAGCGTAATCAAGGCGGTGGCTAGCAGCAAAGTCAGTGACAGCAGCGACAAGTGCAGAGACAGACTCAGGAGGAACAGTAGGGTCAGTGAGAAGCGATGCAAGCAGGCGCGAGAGGACTGAAGGAGCAGTGCGAGCAGCGTTGGAGCGAGGAGGGGGGGACGACAGGAGCGACGACGGGGGAGGCAACGAGAGGACTGCGACTGGAGGAGCACACGAACGAAGGACCATACGGTGCACACTAGGACGTGGAGAGACAGCACGAGTACCAGAGGGACGACGGACCTAGTGGTGAAGAGCTGGGGACTGGGGACGGGGGGAACGGGAGACAAGTACGGGGACGGGGGAGAGCGTGGGGGATAACGAGCCGGAGAGGAGTCCAGAGGATTGAACAACGGGCCGTAAATAGGGTAACGTACCAGAGGAGGGACGGGCAGTCAGTCAGGGGAACCGAGTGCAAGACCAAGGAGGCGAAGAGCAGACTGCGGTTGCTCCTGCTGCTGCGGCTCCTTGTCCTCTCGAGGACCTCTGGCTGCACCTCGGCTACCACCGGCACTCCCCGAAACAGCACCCCTAAGACTAGCACCCCCGGGAGTACCACCCACAGAACCAGCACCCCCAGAATGCGCACCCCCAAAACCAGCACTCCCAACACCAACTCCACCAACACCAGCACCCCCAAAGTCCACTGCTCCCTGCTGCCGCTGCTGTTGCTGCGGCTGTCGCTAAGTCTGTTGTGGCGACGGCTGCTGCTGCTGAGGCAAGGAGGGAGGCGGCTGAGGTGCCTGGGGTACCGAGGCTTGGGGAGGTGCCACAAGGACTACAAGTGCCTCCGCAGCAGCAGGGCCCCCAGAGTCAGCCGACTCCCCCACGGGCCCAACCAAGGGGAACTGAGTGGCGTGGGAGACACCAGACTAGGCTAGGCAGGGTGGGAGGGGTGCAGTAGGCACTGCAAGGACAAGGAAGAGAGGAGGAGGAGGCACAAAAGTGCTATGGTGCGTGAAGCACTGGGAGTAGGAGAGCGTCTTGTCGAACATAACGTGACGAGAGCGGTAGAAGCGATGGTGTGCCAGTTGGTGTAGAACAACCAATCAGGGGCGTCAAACGGAAACCCTAGGAGGGCACAAGGAAGGGTGCGGGCTGAAAGCTTGTCTGCGCCAGTGTCGCAAAAGTGAGCAAGGCTGCCCAAGACGTGGAACACAGATGTGTCACCAGAAGGCCTGGTCCAGAGAAGGGTAAGCGAAACTTGTGGCCGCTGGGAGCGCGACCATAGGTTAAGCTGGTGAGCAGCGTAGCGCACGGCGAATGGCCACAGAATATGGGGTGCATCGGCGTGGACCATGGAGGTGCGGGCTAACTCCATGATCAGGCCGATGCGTCGCTCAGCGAACCCATTCTGCTGTGGGGAGTCCGGTAGTGTGTAGGTCTGGCAGATGCCCTCCGCACGACAGAATTGTCCTAGAGTGCCAGAGGCGAACTCTCCACCACGGTCAGAGTGGTGGTGACCTACATGCAGACGGTGGTGGGTGCGAACAGCAAGAAGCCATGGGAGGAGAACGATAGGCACGTCGTCCTTCCGCTCCAACAGGAAAACTCTGCTGAACCGTCAACGACGACTAGGAAGTAGCGCTCCCGACTAAGACCATGGACCAGGGGTGGGCCCCAGACGTCCATGTGCAGCAAGCCTGGCGGCGAAGTCGATCGCGTGCCCCTCTGCGTCCAGACGTAGCATGGCGTCCGCCATCGCGCAACCGCAACGACACCGGGACACAGCAGCACAGCGGCACTGGGACACAACGGCGCAGCAGCACAGGGACATAGGTGCTCAGCTGCACGGCGATACAGCGATGTGGCGGCAGGACTCTCCAGAACAGAGACCGGGCGCGCGAGGAGCCGAAGGCACACGAGGGGCCGGCTAGGCGGTAGGGGCCGGCTAGGCGATGGGGGCCAGCTAGGCGGTAGAGGGACCGGCGGCGGCGCTAGAAGGGGCCGGCTAAGCTCGAAGGTCCGGCTAGGCACGAGGGGTTGGCTAGGCGCAAGGGGCCGGCTAGGGCACCAGGGGCCGGCTGGGCGCGCGGGGTCGGCTGGGCGCGAGGAGCCGGCTGGGCGCGAGGGGCCGGCTAGGGCGTGAGGGGGCGGCTAGGGCGCGAGGGGCTGGCTAGGGTGCGAGGGGCCGGCTAGGGTGCGAGGGGCCGGCTAGGGCGCGAGGGGCCGGCTAGGGTGTGAGGGGCCAGCTAGGCGCGCGGGGCCGGCTGGGTGCGAGGAGCTAGCTGGGCGCGAGGGGCCAGCTGGGTGCGAGGGGCCGGCGACAGCGCGAGGGGCCGGCTATGGCGCGAGGGGCCGACTACGGTGCAAGGGGCCGGCTACGGCACGAGGGGCCGGCTAGGCGCGAGGGGCCAGCGACGGCGCGAGGGGCTGGCGACGGCGCGAGGAGCTGGCTAGGGTGCGAGGGGCCGGCTACGGCGCGAAGGGCCGGCGACGGCGTGAGGGGCCGTCTAGGGTGTGAGGGGCCGGCTAGGCGTGAAGGGGGGGGGGGGCGGCTAGGGCGCGAGGGGCCGGCGACGGCGCGAGGGGCCGGCTAGGGCGCGAGGGGCCGGCTAGGCGCGAGGGGCCGACTAGGCATGAAGGAGGCGGCTAGGCGCGAGGGGCCAGCTACGGCGCAAGAGGGGTCGGGTGGGCGCGATAGGGGCCGGCGAGGCGCGGTAGGCTAGGGCGCGGGGCGGAAGCGGGTGGGTGAACCTAACCTACTCATGATACCATGTTAGAATGCTAGAATGAATAAGAAATAAGAAAGAACAAGTAGAGGTAGGGCATGACTAATAGCAAGCTGCGCAACATCGTCGCGCGACTCCCTGACAGCGCGAGCAAGCGCAGCAGCAGAAAAGGCCTCACGCTCAACAGTGGTGGGGGCGTCAGGGAGGGCAGCAGGTGCAGGGGGGCAGGGAAGAGTACCATTGTCATGAACAGCCAGGAAGAAACCGTCCTGGCGCTGACCTGTCAGGTGACGGCAAAGGTCGACGAGCCACGCCTCAAAGCTGATCGCCCGGCCCTCCGCGTCCAGGCAGAGCACAGCGTCCGCCATCCCACGTCCTCAGTTGCTGACGGCGGCATGGTGGCAGGCGGCACGGCGGCACGACGGCACGGCGACACAGCGGCACGGCGAACGGCGGCACGGTGGCACGACGACACCGCGGCACGGCGCCACGGCGGCACGGTGACACGGCTCCACGGCGACACGGCGCCACAACGCCACAGCGACACGGCGACACTGCAGCATGGAGCCACGGCGGCACGACGACACTATGGCACGGCGGCATGGCGGCACGACGTCACGGCGGCACGGCGGGACTGCGGCACGGCGGGACGGCAATACAGCAGTGCTGCGGCACAGCGGCATCGCGGCACGGCGGCACAGCGGGACCAGGGTCGGCGCGAGCGAGGTCGGCAAGCTAGGGGCCGACTAGGTAAGGGCCGGCTAGTAAGGGGGCCGGCGAGCTGGGAGCCGGCTAGAGGGGGGGGGGGCAGTGGGCTGGGGGCCGGCTAGTAAGGGGAGGGGCTGGCGAGCTGAGGGCCGGCTAACTAGGGGGCCGGTGAGCGAGAGGCTGGCGAGCTCGGGGCTGGCTTACGATGGGCCAGTGAGCTCGGGGCTGGCTAATGAGGGGGCAGCGATCAAGGGGCCAGCAAGCTCGGGGCCAGTGGGCGTGGACCAGTGAGCGCGGGGTCGGCGAGCGTGGGCCTGCTAGCACGGGCCAGCGAGCACGGGGCAACGAGGGCGGGCCAGCGAGCGTGGGGCGACAAGGCTGGGCCAGCAAGCGCGGGGCGACGGGGGCGGACCAGCGAGCGCGGGGTGGCGAGCGGGCCTACGAGCTTGGGGCGACGAGCAAGCCTACGAGCACGGGGCGACGGGCGGCTGACGGCTACGGGCAACGGGCAGCTAGGAACGGGCGGTTCGGGCTAGGACTAGGGGCGGAAGCGCAGGTGGTCGGGATCCTACCTAACGTGATACCATCTTAGCGTAGAAAACGTTGACTAGACTGTCGATACATGGTGATTTTGTCCAAGTGATTGTACTCTCTAAGAGTACGCACCTATCTAGCCTATAGCAACATATGAATATATGTTTGATAGAGTGTTGTGGTAAATTCGTGCTTAAGCATTTCTGTAAGTTCCGATAGATATTATCCAGTTATACTGTAGTTAGCATCCATAGAATGATGTCAGCAAATTGCGCTCGTCTGGATGATTATGACAGCTGGCCGTTTCAAGTCACGCGAACAGTCGCGCCCCTTTCAGTAGCGATTAGAGCGCATAGCGCAAATATCCTTGAACAAGTACATTACCGAACAGGTACTTCTAGCAAGTATAAAAGTAGCTTGTTTCTCTTTTATTATCAAATTGTTCTTCAGTAAATTCTGGTCAACTCTTACAATTTCTAAGACTTTCGTTGTCTTATTAGTCTACCATTCCAGCAAAGATCCTTGCTCAAGTCTTGAAGTATCACAAGGCTGTAACACTGATTCTGGTGTTACAACTTATTAATACTGGCTGTTACTGGAGGTACTTCTAGTATTATTTTCTACTTCAAGTACTTGTGTCTTCGGATTCTATCTTTAGTCTCCTGCACCATTTTACAAATTCTTACACTGCATAGGGCTCTATACATGAGACGCCCAACCCGACTATGGTAGAGGGCTTTCTCT